AATTTATAAAAAAATTGAATTAAAAATTTACACAAAAAATGAGGAATTTCAAATAGTTAATTTGATACTAATATCGATATATTTTTGTCAAATTTTTATTATATCTTCAAACATATATTTTATTCAAAAATAAAAATATTATTGCTTTCTCAAAATCACATAAAGCATATTATAATATCGACTGAGATAAAGAAGAAAATAAAATATTAAAATCATGATGTATCTCGCTGCATTGGACGAGTACGCTTCTAGTTTAAAATAAATGTATGTTACCATGAAAAAGAGATAATAAGTTTCACACCCATGACCTCTTGTATGTAAAGTGTCAATCCAACCATCTCACCAATGCTTAATTTCTATTATAAATCTGGTCTGAAAGCATTTAAGCGCACCCCTCAAAATCAGGTGAATTCACCTTTCAAACGCCTAACTTTTTTTCGCTTGCAATAATCAAATAAGCAGAAGTACGGTGCCCGCTCGCCCTTAATGGGTCCAACCCCGGGGCTTGGTTGGATATTACACAAGCCTAACCACCAAATATTATAACGTGGGTTGTAAAGCTAGGCAAAAGTGATCCAAGCCAGAGAACAAAGAGGCTAGAATTTAAGACAACCTAATTAAAACCACTTCTCATTACTTCCAGCAAACAATTTAGAGTTAAATTCCTTCCAAATTATATACAAAGCTCACAATAAATCTTTTTTCTTTTATTTTCCTCTTCCAAACTAGCATGCATGAGGATTGACATAAAGATACACAGTGGAAAGAAATCAGTGATCTAGTTGGGGGTGTCAAGACGAAGCTTACTAGCCGCGAGCAGCCGAGCATCTTCTATGAGCAACAGCCATCGGCGGCTACAGCCTGGTTCTCTGGTTTTTGCTTCAATATATTTCTCTTCATCACCGTAGACCCTTCTTCCAGAAGACTCGGAACCTCCATTATCTGTGTTATGGAACGACAAGAGTGAATTTGTTTTCTAGATAGATTGGAGACATGTTTGTTTTAATGAAATATGAATGTGCAGGATGAAGAACTGTATCACAACATGGTATTATGATAAATCCTATCGTTACCTTTAATGCAAGCTCTTCGAAACATTGATGTACGTTTTCCCGAGTTCTGGCACTACATTCAAGAAATAAACATCCGAGCTCTTTCGCAAGACCAGTGCCTTCTTCTCTGCTTACAAATCTTTCAGTGTCCTGTAATAGTATTTACATCTAATTATCTAAGTTCTCAAGATGGAGTTCAACAACAAACAATTATTCAAACAATCACCATAAAAAGAGATCCAAAAGATAAGGCTACTAAGGGGTTGTTTGGTTGGTTTTCCATTAAGTCCTGTATGGATAAAGTTGTCTGTGTGGATTAATTTGTTTGTATAGATTGAGAATTTTTTGTTTAGGTTTTTTTTTTCACAAGATGAAATGAGTGTGTTTTTTAATTGGGTCTTGGCTTTTTGTATAAAGCTTTCCTCTAGAAGCTTATTGAATAAGTCACTTTCTATATCATTAAGCCACTACCAAACAACTACCAAACACTTATGTGTAGCTGACCGAATAAGCTGTGAATCCCATTAAGCTGCTAACAAACAGGCCCTAATGCGACTACAATCTAGTGATCTGACAACTAGAAGAAAACATTTGACAACTTTGCTAACAAATAGATAGATAAAAGAAACCCACAAAACTATAATGAGTTCAAATGGGAATGTCAATGCCAACAAAAACAATTTGGTCGATCACTCGATCTGGTGAAGCACAATTTGGAATAGTGAACGTAGCATAGACATCTTCTTCGTTAATAAGAGAATTGGCATACAACTTTCAAAAATCAGAGCTAAAACAACTGTTGAACAGCCAAAATGTTTATTAAATACAAGATAGACATCTATCAGACATGAGTCAAGTAGAAAACACAAATGAGAGTTGGTATTTTAAAACTCAAAAATTTAAGAGCCAGGCTGCGTTTATTGGTTCACAGACATATCAATTATTGAAATAGATATAGAACTTACTTTGTCAACTTTATTTCCGACAAGCATCTTAACGCAGTCCTGATTAGTGGAGTAAAGATCAACCTCTTTAGCCCATACTTCTGACAGGTTTGTGAAGGTTTCTCTTCTTGTAACATCATACACTATAAAACATACAGAGTTCTATATATTATTAACCAAACTTGGAAGAAAATGCAGCCAAAAGCTAAAAATCTAGAAAAGAGACTGTATGGTGGTGCAATCAGCACCCATTGAACTACCTACTCTTCTAATGACATTTAGGGTAATTGCTAAACCAGTAAAAGGTTTATTTATAGTATGATGTGAGATCGGCTAAATTAAATTACACTCGTCATTTATGATCCAAGGATCACGTTAGAACACTAACTAGCTCAAAGGAATTCGCTCCAAAGACACTTTAAATCATTCTGCTGATTCGATTTGGTCGAGAGGTTGTCCAGTCAACCTCGAGAGGAATTTTACTATTCCCACCGCTGACCTTTCACTGAGAGTAATGCTGTAGTAAACCCGACGGGAAGATCAGTCCCAGGGCTCAATACTTGTAGGTGCTTTGAGTATGTGGGCTATACAACTATACTTCAACAAATACTCAAATAGAAACTTGTTCCATGAGTTTGTGTGCATATAAACTTTCTGCAGTTAATTGGGTAGATCCCCATGTTTAATGGAGTGATGACATTGTTAAACAATCATATACCTTAAAAATAATCCTTAACAAGACAAAGTTGAAATTTTTGCAGACCAAATTCTGAGTGGAATATACAAAGGTCTGTGCACATCCTACCTTCCCTAGTATAGTGGGATACTATACCAGGTATGTTTGGTTTATACAATATACGATGGTAATATTTTACTGAAAAAAATGTACTCTAATGCTACTGAAAAAAATGTTGAATACTTCAATATTTAGGAAGCAATGGTACAAAATAGTCAGGACGTACCAAGAATAATCCCTTGGGCACCCCTGTAGTAAGAACTTGTCAATGTTCTGAATCTCTCTTGTCCAGCTACAATAAAAAAATTGTCAGATCAGAGATGAGCGACACTTGTATTGGATGGAGTCAACTTGCAAGAAATACAACATTATGCAAACTCAAAAACCCATTCCTAGAGCAAGTGTGAAGTTTACTCAGTGCAAGCAAATTCCAAGGAAGTCATGACATGACGGCATTTCACTTGGAAATGGGAACATATTTTACGTGTCTGAGGATAATGGAAAATTGAGAGATCATATTTTTCCTGTTTATGCAGTGGTTCATGCCTTTTCATTACCAGTCACAAGAAATCCCACATGTTTCTTTCAATATGCAGTCAGAAGTGCAGAACTATGCACCATCAATTGAAAAAACACACACACGTTAAAAGAAGGAACCCATGTTAAAAAAATTGTGATGTGCTTGGTATGCAATTTTTTTAAGATGCAATGATGCATTGTCCTTTTTAGTTGTGTCCACAACAAACTTCTCTTGTAACATTATCTCAATTCTGTTTCAGAAAAAGGGGCAAAGAATATCAAGTGTACTTTGAAGCAAACAGTTTTTTGCAAGAGTCAACTGGAAATCGATGTTTACAACTTCACATTACAGCATGCAAAGATAAAGCACTGACTAATATACTAGTGGGACTATGAACAGTTGGCTAATCAAAAACATGTTATAGGCAATGCTTACCAGTGTCCCAAATTGTAAGTTTTAATCTTTTTCCGCCAACTGTAAGCTGCTTGATTTTGAAGTCAACGCCTACCAAATACAACAGATAACAAAAATAAGTACAAGATAAACCTGCTTGTGAATGAGATATGAATACATATATATTGTTCTGATACAAAATATATCAAATTGCCACTGTATCTTAGCAGTCAAATACATTTCTGCTCCATACAAGATCCGAAGTTAGACCATCCACATGCTGCTAGGTCCCCATACTCCTCAATCCAAGTTATAAAACTTGACAACCAATTTGACTTCCCATACAGAACAAAACGGAATAAAAAAAATTGCTTTCCTCTTCCCTATAAGAGGCAGTTATCCCTTGACTTTGTAGGTCAAACAAATGACTACTCAACTTCAACAAAATGGATATGACTTACTGAGAAAAATTACCAAGCAGATTGAAGCTCATAACAGACACTACAAGTATATAAATGTTGGTATCAATTTACAGAAAAAATACTCATCTTGCATTTGCAAAGTATTAGGTTTGATATCCAAAGTCAACCTATAGTTTTTTGTTGCAATAGATGGAGTATAGACTCCTTATATTGCAAAAATAAAGTAAAAGCTTGGTTTGACATAATTCAAGAAGAATTTGGACTATTAGTCAAATATTTCAATTTCATACAAACTAGAGGGATTTTGTTCCTGTGAATGAGATATCTAAAATTCCGCACAAAATATTGAAATTTTATATACAATATTTTGCAATAGAGTTGGTTCAAACGAGAATGGCCAAATCACATGTGAATTTACACTAAACCAACTTGTAAAATCACACGTGATTACGCAGGACCTTGACACCAAGTCCCACGTGCGCTGGCCTTGTTCCGTAATTGAATGTGATTTCAGTGCAAAATCATGTGATTTGGCTGTTGTTCTAGTATTATCTTATTTTGATCTGTACTCGTTTGATCCTCCCTCTTTTGCACTAGATATATAAATTTGGGTTGGAATATTAGAAAAATTGAAATCTTCACATTTATTTCGGAAGAGTTCAAGAGTATATAACTAAATTCTAGCTGATAACAAAACTGTTAACACAAATTTTAAATATAAATAAACAAATTAGAAACCGACTCATATCTAAGTGTTAACATCATATGAAGCACAAAAAAATGAATTCTCAACACAAATACCGATAAATCTAATACTATAACATCAATTTGCATCGAATTACGGATCAAACTAACATAAGAAATTCATCACAAGCTTCTAAAAATTAAGAAAATTGAACCAGTCAAGACAGCAGTGAAATTACCAATGGTAGGGGCGATATCCTCGACGGAGTCGGAGATGAAACTGACGAGAAGACTACTTTTGCCGACACCGGAATCTCCGATCAATAAGATCTTAAATGAGAGATCGTACTGACCTGATGATGACCCCATTTTGATGATTACGAAACGAACTTTCTCTGTTGATTCTTTGAAAAACAAGCAAACAACAGATGAACTTAAAAATAGTTTGAGATTTCAGATTTGTTTAAATTCATCATCGGAAAACCTAAAACGGATCAATGGCATCTAATTCTTTTCCTTTCTTCGAAGAAAGAAACTGCTTTTGATGAGAGAGAAATCTAGAGAGAGAAAGCAGGATATTTGTGTGTATCTGGAACCAAGATATGAATCCCGTTTTTGCGCCAAACGCACTCCAACATACTCATTACTTCACAATTTATTTCTATATTCCCGTTGTCTCTTTACAGCAATTTTAAATAAAGAACTCAAATAATTTTGGTAATTAATTATAATCTTTATTTTATATAAAAAATTCATGACTCATATTTTTTTTAAACATATAATATTTATATATAGTAAATAGAACAAAAAACTCACATATCATCCTCACATTTTGTGATATTTGAACCTCTTTGACCTTTTCAGAGGCCAAAGACTCACATACCGATAAGCTAAAGACCCTTTAGTCATAACTTATAATTTATTTTGAATGTATATACAATTTTCTAGAGTTTTATGTTTGAACTTTAAAAAACTATCTTATAAATATGTTTAAATATAAAATAAGCAGATGAGACCAAATAATTATATGATTAACGATTCGTGGTTGAAAAATAATAACAAACCATAAAAATAAAATCAATAGAGAAGGAGTTGTTTGTTTACCTCTTAATAGTTTCATAAAGAGGCAATCTCTGAATCGTTAAGAGGTGAATCTTGTTTGGCAAAAAAAAAAATATGTCTCTTAATGGTTTTAAAACCCTCTGAATGATTTTGTATCTTAGATCTCCTTTAACCATTAAAAGCCCTAATTTCATTGTACACAATTAGCAAACAATTATATTTCATTTTGCACTATATCATGAGAGCATCTTGATCATTCTGACCATATAATCATTCTGCACTAAACCATTCAGCAGTTGCCAAAGAGCCCTAAACAAAAGGACATTGGGTTCAAGTTCTCTGCTTTATAATCAAGATGTATCACATTGCATTATACAGATACATAACTAGTTCTCTTTTTAATGGACCGTGCTCAAAACATCACTAGTGGGAATGCTTAGTAGCTATCGTTGTTGACAGAACCTTGAATGCCTTCGTCGATCGCACAGCCGTCCCAATCTTTTGTAGGTTCTATTACACCGACACCTGTTGTACCGCTACTAAATTATAAATTGTCTGCAAAGAGCGATGAACAAATTTAAATATAAAGATTCATGTCATCTTAAAAATCCAACTAATTAAAACAACATAGAGGTTTTAAAATGACAAAGTGAGAAGAATATCGAAAGGGTTTTTTTTATTTACCTAGATATCCAATCCGCTATGCGAATTGATTAATCCTAGAACGACCACCTGCTTTGCGGGTAACCCGGAGTCACCGCATTTGAACCTCCGTGGCCACAAAAGGATTTTTATTTTTCCTTGAATTTGAACTTGAGACCTCCGAGCACTTTGACCTTTGGAACCCAAGCTCAAACCAATCAGACACCACCTTTATGGAACCCAAGGTTGTTTTTGTTTTTTATCCCCAAATTCTGACATTAAATGGCCGCTTTTGATTTTGAAATAAGTTAGATAGGTCTTTATTGAGGTGGACTCACAGGTCTACATAAATCAAACCTCTCGAGGCTCAAACACAAGTAAAATTAAATGGTTAAGGTTGACTGATTGAGATTTGATGGCATTAAAGTCATCCAGTTTGGTCGTGGGTCAATATCAAAGTAGGCTTAGCTTCTTGTATTTGAATCCAAGTTCTTTTCTTGAATTGAAACGTTTTTTTCTTATAAAATATAATAGATTATATTTTTGTTACAAAATTTATTTATCGAGGGTGTTATTTTGTTTCACTTTATCAAATACAGGGGTAGTTGGAATTGTTTATTTGAAACAACTTATAATTTTTTTTTACAAAAAGACTTATCGACTTATTATAAGTCAGAAGGATTTAACTTCTTCAAAAACTTTTTATTACCGGTTTGGCACCGATATAAGTTGTTTATCCAAACACTCAAAAATGCTTATAACCAGTGTCACACCGGAATAAGTTAATAAGTTGTTTTTGTAAGCAATCTCAACCATCCCCACAATGGAGAAACGGTTTATTATATTACATAATTGGTATGTTATATAATCATTTTTACAAGGGTCATTGTTGTAATTTTAATGATGCATGAGACCAAGATAAAAATAATTAATAAATCATGGAGACGAAAATTATAAATTACTCTACAATTTAATAAAACAAAACGGATACAGAAAAAGGTAAAATGATCAAAATATCCTTAAGTTAATTAACTTTTTTCTTAACTGGAGTTAGTGAGAGGTATTGAAAGTAAAACAGAATGATAACTACAATGACAAAAAATGTAATTAGTTTAAAATACTGACTAAACTTGATATTAGTGGTAAAATAACTATATATAAATTACTACAGTCACATAGTTTAATTTGCATCTAGGGATGGAAACAGGGCAGACAATGCATTCCCCGTTCCCGACCCCTCCCCAACTAATCCACAACAGGTTTGGAAAACCCGTTGGGTACTCGTTTAGTCTATAACGATATATTTTAAAATTAAAATTATAAATGAATCGTCGCTGTATTAATTACAAGAACGCGATAAACACCCTTATCACATGTGATAATACGCATGAGAGGACCCTGTGATGTGCGGACGACGTGTTTTACGACTTAGGTCGCGTCAAAGGTTGTCTGCGTCTATGATTTAACACCACATGTGATGGTCTTGATGGATTATAGTATAATATCAACAACAATCTTATCACATGTGATAATACTTGTGAGGGGGCTTAGTGGTATAAGAACGACTTGGCCCGCAACCAAAATTGCATCGAAAATCGTCCGTGTCTCTGATTTAATATCTCATGTGTATCATATGTGATGAAATAATAGTATCACATGTGATTGTCTATAGTAAAAGAGTGTTATCGCGTTCTCGTAAAATAAAAATGTTCTCGTTTGAACCCTTCCATATATATATATATAGATTTATTTATACATACACTATATACATATTAATTAACATACAAAAATTAATCGGGTCAAATTATGGATGGTTATGCCATCTCCTACCCTGCCCTGTAAGTCTCTCGTCCCCGTCCCGTTACCCGTCAATACCTGGGAATCCATGCGCTATAGTAGCCCAACGGGTAAAACTCACATCTCTATTTACACCTCATGATTTCCAATGAATTACAAGATGGTGTAGATTTACATTTTATTAGAATTGATGTAAAAGACGATATGTTTCTCTTTTTCCTAATTAAAATTGATGTAAAATTAAGTGTAAACTATAAGTTCGGTCTTTATGGTTTGTCAAAAATAACATCTATTGTTCCTATAGTTTCAAAATTATAAGATGAACATCATGATTTGTGAAAACGTCCGGATTTTATGCATTCCTCTGATGGTCGTTAAAAAAGTTTGATTAAATGAAAGACATTTTTGTTCTTTCATGTATTTTTTTGTCTTTTATCCGATCAAAAATTACAACTAACATTGGACAAAACATAAAATTGATTTTGATTGTGTAAAAGACAAAAAAACAATCGATGAAAGAACGAAAATGCCCGTAATAAAACCACAAGAGTGGTGCCTGATTGGTTTGAGGTTGGTTCCAAAGGTCAAAAGTAAGAGGAGGTCTCATGTTCAAATTCAAGGAGAAATAAAAATCACCTTGTGGCCACGGAGGTTCAAATGTGGTGACTCCGAGCTATCTGCAAAGCAGGTGGTCGTCATGGGATTAGTTAGCTCGCATAATGGGTTGGATATCTAGGTTAATAGAAAAAAAGCCCGTAATAAATGAATTTTTCAATGGTCGTTAGAGGAAGGGATCCAATTCAAAGGCTCAGCGAGAAAAAATGTTACTTCTGAGTTCTGACAAACCATAGGGACCAAATTTGTAATTTTCTCTTAAAAAATTAAACGACCAACAGAAGCATCGTGGTTTTTTATGTTGGAGTGTAGACTAGAGACAGTTACGAAGCAAAGAAAGGCGAAAACAGAGGGAGATGGACCGAGAATGGGGTTCGAAGCCTGGGAGCGGTGGCGCCGCCTCTGCCCAAAACGAAGCCATCGACCGCCGTGAGAGGCTGCGCAGGCTCGCCCTTGAGACTATCGATCTTGCGAAAGATCCATATTTCATGCGCAATCACCTTGGAAGGTAAACCCTAGGTTATATTATGACATGGTGCATTTGTGGTCATTGATAATGACGAATGTGAAGTAGTGTGTGATTTATTGTTTGTAGCTACGAGTGCAAGCTATGCTTAACACTGCATAATAATGAGGGGAATTACTTGGCGCACACACAGGGGAAAAGACATCAGACCAATCTGGCGAAGAGAGCTGCTCGGGAGGCGAAAGATGCTCCTGCACAGCCCCAGCCTCACAAGCGTAAAGTTAATCTCCGAAAGACAGGTAATGAACCCCATATAGTTTTCAGTTCAGTTGAAGATTACTTTTTTTAATTTCATGAAGATAAATATAGGTTTTTCAGATCAGTGGCTTTACGTATTGCAGTCAAGTGGCATCACTTGTATACTAGATGAAATCTTCTATCTTATTTGAATGATTTATATTTTAGTATTTCTTGCAGCATTAAGTAATTACACGTTCAGGGAGCATTTAGACTTGATTTAAACACAAGTATTTAGTGGTGCATGAACGTGTATTACAGATTTTTGTTTGGATTTGTCTCTTCATTATCTGGCTTCCCTATCATTTTTCTAGCAATTTTTATATGCAATTTTGACGAATTAGATTATGGAAAGCAAGAACTGCCTACAAGAATTTCCACCACGTTTCTTGTGACCTAGAGTGGTCTAACATTATTTTTAATGGTCCTGTAGTTAAAATTGGCCGGCCTGGTTACCGAGTGACAAAGCAGTTTGATCCGGAGATGAAGCAAAGGTCTTTGCTCTTCCAGGTATGCATTCCGTCTACTTGCGAATAGAGCTTCTTCCTTTCCACCTGCTAAAACTAGGCACATAATGAATGTGTCATGGGTCATGATGAATGATGAATAAAGGAATTCCACAGAAGTTGCTTCTCTCCATTTTGTAAACAAGCGAATATAGTGGGAGTGTTAAATGGATTTTGATAATTGTGAAAACTATATTATGTACTTAGAACATAGGACTTGGTAGAAATGGACAGATGTGGAAGTGAGAACTTGATTAAACATGAACCATTTCCAAGAACCTATAATATTAGCAGCATACACTTGTGGTCTTTATATGCTTTGAGTTGTTTATCATCAATAGCTATTCTCTTTTCTAACTGAGATCAAGCAAGTTGGGAGCATTAAAGTCCGTTTTGCAGAATATAGTAAAAGAATGATGCATGATAGAATGGCCAGAAAATGAACTTATGGTTACGTATAAAGAAAAGAACTTATGCTTATGGGGATATTTATCGAATCAATACCCTTGAATAAGGAGATTTATGCCTACTCAAGCGTTATGCTTGATTCAGAGTGGAATTTGACACACATTCCACATAATCAGTGTAGTTATGTTTCCACGAATGAGAAAATAAATTATAAACTGACCCTAGATCCTTTTGATTTACTAGATAGTTGTGGTAACACATGAAGTGTCCCAATCTTTATATTTCAATCACGAGACTTCCAAAATTCCATAAAGTGGGATTTGCAGGTGGTGCACCGCCATGAAATTCCCACTAAAACAATTCCTATGGCGACGATTTCCACTCAAGAGACCCTATCTGGCTGACTGAATAAGCCAATATGTTTGTATGGCTGTGTGAATAAGCCCATCAAGCCATTAAACTCGTTAAGCCAAAAGCAAACAGCCCCTAAGGTTGATTCTACCCAAACATACTTCTCCTAATCTAACCCAACTCCTGATTTGCAAAGGAATACTCTGGCTGAACCATTGATGTATTCTGTTGTTTTCACATAGAAGCTTCAGGCATCACCCGCTAATAAAGTTTTCTCTACTTTGGCTTTTAAGAAGTATTAAACTGTTAATTATTGGTCAATTTTGTATACCTTTGTGTATGGCTATTTTGACGATCCAAGTATGCATTTTTATTTTATTTTCCATATATTTGGCATCCGTCTCTTAATGCAGATTGAATATCCTGAAATTGAAGATAATACCAAACCACGGCATCGGTTTATGTCATCCTTTGAGCAGGTATGCCATGTTTTTACTTTTCCACAACTTCTGTAATTGATGACAAAATGCCAATTCCCCTGTGCTCAGTCATTTTACTTACATGTGTGTGTAGGTATGTATGTATATATGATGTCATTTCGTAATACTCCCTGGCCCCAATTTAAATGACCAAATTTTCTAAGGCACTGGGATGGAAGCTTACCTTTACTAATCCTATCTCTATCAGCTTATCGGGATAAGCTCATCCTTTTTTCCCCTGGGTGTGTGTTTTTGTTTGTTATCATGTGTATTGGAAGCATGAAAAATGTTCAACTACCGTAATTTATAAGCTCATCCTTTTTTCCCCTGGGTGTGTTTTAGTTTGTTTGTCACATGGGTATTGGAAGCATGAAAACGATTTATGTTCAACTACAGTAATTTATATTCTAGGTACATGATGCCTAGCTTTGACTGGTTTTCTCAACTATACAGGGGTAAAATTGTTAATCATGGGAAACAAATTACAATAAATGGTGAAGTGGCCATTTATATTGGGGCCACCCGAAAGGACAGTTATGTAGCCTGGACATGGTGAGTATGTTGCAGCATACTTTATCTATTCACAGTCCTAGTCTCCTAGGGTATGGGTGCTAAGATTATTGTTATCATATAAAGTACACACCTTCCTCCGTCCCAAAATGAATGAGCCTTTTGCTCAACATGTAAGAATTTATAGGTTTGCACCACCAAATGTTGATAGGAAAAAATTATTGAATATCTAGTTCCATTTTATCAACAAACATCTTAAAATATTGCCTTTAGATGAATTTGAAGGAAGTAGGAAGCTACTAGGTGTAGAATTCTATAAGGAAAGTCTCCTCTGATGATACTCATTTGATTAACAAAAGAATAATGATAAAACAAGAAATTTTCCCATAAAGAATGTAGAGTTATGATAATGTAATGTATCAGAAATAAATTAAAAACATCGGGTGTATATGTTGCTTAAAATGTAAAAACAAGGAAAAAAGGATCTGTCTCATAAGGCACGTCTAATTTGAGACAGAGAAAGTATAAATTAGGTAATTCTATGAGCAGGATATCATGTAGAAACCTGAAGCCTTAAGAAAGCTCAGTTATTAGCATGCATTTTGCCATTATTCTTGATCGTGTTATCTTCTATTTCCTCCATCCCGTGAAATCATACCACTTTCCTCTCTGAGATGTACGTGTCCCCCAAAAATTGTTAGATTTCCTCCTTAGGCAGTTTTTGTGTTACAGGTACCTTTTTGCCCATTCTAATCATTAGAATCAAATTGATAGTTTTGATATGGGTCCACAAGATTTGTTCATTTTGTTTCTATAGAAGAGTATCTTAGATATAAACTTTGTGTCAAGCCAATCATTACAATTTTTATTAGACGGAGGGATACTTAAGATTCATCCAGTGTCTTTCAGAAATCTGGGTTTGGGTTTGTGATAGGTCAATGAAAATTACTTGGATAAAATGTTGGATTGTGTGAGAACACCTTCCGAAAGTAGTATCTTGACCCTACAGTTGTCTGGGGTTACACGAAATCTACCATGGGATAATCCAAAATCGCACTCTTGTTTTTAGGCAGAAAACGAGAGTACAATACAAAGAATCTGTTGTGTTCTGCATGTTCTAATTGAGATCGAAAATGCTCTATTTATAGATGTTTTCCGACATCTATTCTGGCGAGAAGACAAGTATTTTGGCTCTGACTACAGTTATCCAAATAACTACCAACAAATAAGAATGGTTGCTAAATTTCTTGGTGAACACCCTGATCAGAGTGTGATCAGTGTCATGGAAGACACTTCAGATCAGTGATCCTATTTCAGTCCCCCAGCACTGATGGCAATTCTTAGTGCCTCACTGAAGACATTTCTTCAGAGCCTTAACATTAAAGGCATGCTGAAAGCACTAATCTTGGTGTTAGCTTCTTAAGCATACCATTTATTAGTGACCTTTAAAAGGGGTGCTACCCCCTTGACCCCCGCTATTAGTCGGTTCTGGGATCAAATGAGCTTATACAAGCGTGCTCTCCACACCTTCTAACTATTATAGATTAATTTAAATCTCTTTGGGTCTTGTGCTCTCCACACCTTCTAACTATTATAGATTAATTTAAATCTCTTCGGGTCTTGTGTAAATCTCCATTACACCAAATGTCTGATGCCACTAAACATATCCATTTTGTAGCATATGTTTGTATGTAGTAATTGAAGTCATCAGTTACCCTTTTCAAGTATGTACCACACCCTAATGACTCTTCTCTTTACACTACTTTCGCAGAGAGTCCAATCTTTTGACAAGAATTATCAGTATCTTCTGTTTGCGGCCGAACCATATGAAATCATTGGTTTTAAGGTATTTTCATTCAACCCTTATTTTATTCCTTGCAACTGTGCTGGTGCTGATTTTGAATTCCTATTGTAGGTTCCTAGTACAGAAATTGACAAATCCACCCCCAAGTTCTTCTCTCATTGGGACCCAGATTCCAAGATGTTTACAGTAATTCTTTACACCCTTGAACACTTGTATTACTGTTCAAAAAAACACTTGTAGGTACACTTTGATTCCATGGTCAAAGCAACTAAATTTTATCAAAATAATCTGGATTGCTTTTAGAAAACTCTGATAAATTATATCAAGTATTTTAACAAAAACAGGAGTAGACGAATTGTGTATTAAATTTGTTACCAATCCATATCGGTTTTAAAATTGGGAAGTGATAGCTTTGACCTCAAAAATCAATGTACCTTAATTTAGATTGGCAATAGTTTGTGACAGACCATCAGTACCCTGCTAGTGTGTGTGTGTGTGTGTAAGGTTAATCACTAAAATAGTCATTTTGCTTCAAAATAGCCCTTTGCAAACTCCCCCTTTTTGTGAGATGCACTTTTTGGGCTTAACCAAACGAACCTTTACTAATTTATTGGGGGGAAGTACAAAAGATACTATTTTGCGAACTCATTATTTTGTGAGATCCTTCTTTTTTTTTGGCCCATTTTGCAAAAAAGGGGAGTTCTCAAACGTGCTTATCTTATGGCAAACCTGGAAAAGTTGGCTACTTGGTGATGGCCCCTATCCAAAATGGCTATCTTAGTGATCAAATCATATGTATATTGGCAAGCACATGGAGGTGGAGATAAGAATGGTGATGCAATATCTTCAGACCCATTTTCACGTGGTCGTGCATGTACAGCTTTCTGAATGCTGGTCCAATTTATCATCAATAATGTTCTGATCCTTCTTGGATGTATTATTATTGTACAGTTGCAGCTATACTTCAAAACAAAACCACCAGAGGCAAACAAGCCTTCTGCTGCAACAACTAATGGAACATCAGCTCCTGGTGTTCCACCACCTAGGCCTCTGGCTCCACCACCACAAGCTCCTCCACCACCTCCACCTGCACCACAAGGACCACCACCAGGATCATCTATAGAAAATTCTTCTAGAGGTCCTCTGCCGCCTCCACCTCCAATAGGAAATGGACCGAGGCCTATGCCGCCTGGTGGGAACCTACCTGCCCCACCACCTCCCCCTTTCGGTGGCGGCGGTATGCCAAGCTTCACACCCGGGAACCAGATAGGTAGGCCGATGATGCCACCACCTCCACAAGGTTTTCAAGGGCAGCAAATGCAGAACCAAGGAATGCGCCCTCCACCTCCACTGCCTCAATAATTGGCCAGTTTCTTAAGTTCATGATCTCCAGAATTTGTAATCAGATACTGTATGTACCCGTTGTCGTGTTTTTAGAAACAAAGCAACCACAAATTTCATTTTTTTTTATTGTGCACCAAGTTCGTGTACCGAGAACTTTTGGAATTTTTTGGGTGATTTGCAATTTGGTTGCAAGACTAGTATTCTGTACATGAGTCTGTTCCAAATCTCTTAACAATTCAATCTTGTGGATGTTTTCTTGGCAAGTCATGATTTCTGGATTTAAACATGTAGAGATGCACCAAGAAGTGTCCTTTAAATAGACTGGTTTGGTTCACATGGTGTTATTGTAGGCCTAAAAGTTGATAACGAGATGGTTCGGTATTCAGACATGAGTCATGAGTTTTATCAATAAGACAGCATCTGATGTGCAGACTTGATGAGACAGCACCAGAGAGGATTGATCGTTTGTCCTGTGTGGAATTTTATCTATAAGACACTGTTTGGTGTGTAGAGTACATGAGATGGGATTGGATTTGTCTAGTGTTTGATAAGAGTCTATAATTACATTGCCCTTGAAATTTTATATAAAATTGTATTATTATCTCATATTATATATCATATATATTTATATACAAATATTATATATAAGAGTTGGATTCATACGAAAACAGTAATCAAATTAAAAGAAAAATCTACCACACATTCTATTAAATAATATCTTAAATAAATAATTCTAAAAATAAACAAATAAGGACATCAAAGTAAATTCTTTATATAAAAATTATTAAAAGCATTTATTTAATATTCTATTTTCTTCGTATATGTGATTTTTAATGTGATTTAATTTTTTATTTAAAAAATTATCTTTTATCTAATAATTGTATTTAATTTTAATTTAAAGAATATTTTTTTTATATTTAAGACGGTATTTAAAAAAATTACAAATTTCATTAAAATCATATGAGATTCACTATTACTTGTTTTTTCAATTTTTTTAATCACATGTGATTTAAAGTGTGAAAAACAATGATTCAAATTAAACATAAAGAAATAAAATAAAAACATAATCACATATGATGTTTAACAGAATATATTTAACATGTATAAGGTTATATATACATCTAAAAAGAGTTCATAATTTACAAATATCACATTTAAAGTTATAGATAACTTATTTTTCTTTTTACACTTAAATTTACTATGATCAATAACAAATATGATATTTTGACGAAAATTAACTATTCTATTTTGAAAAAAAAAACATCAATTATTCGTGTATATCACATGTGACTTTTGGCGAACATTATAATTGTTTTTAAATAAAGGAAAAATTGCATCAAAATGGAACTAACTTTCACCTAATTCCTATTTTGGGGAACCAACTTTCAAAATCATCATTTTGGGAAACCAACTTGCACCTGATTCCTATTTTGATGAACCAACTTTCAAAATTGTCATTTTGTGGAACCAACTTGCACCTGAATTCTATTTTAGGGAACCAACTTGCAAAATAATTATAGAAAAATAACTAAAATTCGTTTTTTTCCAAAAATTAATGCAATAAAATCTATTTTACATTTCAAATCTCGTTTTTTTTAATTCAGATATCAAATTGAACATTTTTTTAAAAAATATCCAAATTACCACAATAAAAATTATCTTTTACTAATGCAAAAAAAATCAATTTAATAGATGCAATTGGTTAGATATAAAAATCTTGAATGTGATATTTAATATTTATTTTTTATTGCATCAATTAATTTTTTTCTATTAAATTGATTTTTTTGCATTAGTAGAAAACAATTTTTATTGTGGTAATTTGGATTTTTTTTAAAATGTTCAATTTGATATCTGAATTAAAAAAAAACGATATTTGAAATGAAAAATAGATTTTATTGCATTAATTTTTGGAAAAAAAACGAATTTTAGTTATTTTTCTATAATTATTTTGCAAGTTGGTTCCCCAAAATAACGATTTTGAAAGTTGGTTCCCCAAAATGACGATTYTGAAAGTTGGTTCCCCAAAATAGGAATTAAGTGAAAGTTGGTTTCATTTTGGTGCAATTTTTCCTTAAATAAATTACTTAAATTAAAAAATACTTTAAATGAAAAACTAAATCACGTTTATTTTAAATATCATAAAAAATAAAAAAATGAAAAACTAATCATTCTTAAATCAGGAAAAATGTAAAAAATTCATAAATAAATACCTTAATTAAATGCAATAAATAAACTTTAAATAAATAAATGAATTTCCATATATAATCTGTATGCAACAATAACATATATGCCCTTTCAAACGATTTAAAATAAATTATTTAAACATGATTCAAATAAATGATTGGATCAAAAATATTCTCTTATTTTCTTATTTAATTACCTTTATCTATAAATCTCCCTCTTATATATTATAATATATTGTTTTATAATTCATACACCTATTTTGGATTACGTTAAATCTTTGTAAGATTACGTGAGATCTTCGTATTCATTATTGGATTATGTAAGATCTATAAAAAAGTAAACTCAAATTTTTGCTTATTTTCCCTCAAATCCATTTTCTGTGTTTTTGAACTGTGTCAAGCAACACGAGCAGTGAAAGAAAGATACGCGCTCTTGGTACAGGGCGCTAAATTGATCAGTTGGCTCGTATAGATATCGTGAAGGCTTCAAACTCTTCTTTTGTTGCTGTGATTTAAAGTCTTTTCTAACGGATTCCTTTATCGTGAGGTATATTTTTCAAAACATCCTATTTACATGGGTAATATTACGTTTTTATGTTCTGTTAGGGTGCGTTTGGTACGTTGGACAGGGTGAGACAGAACAGGACAGAACACAATTGTCCTATGTTTGGTGTGGTTTTATGTGGGACTAACTAGAACAAACTAGAACAAGGGTGGGACAAGGTTGTCCACCCTTTACCCATGTAACTAAGTAGAACAAGAAACTTTTTACCACTTTACCCTCAAAAACCTCATACGCATACCTTCCTTCTTCCCCTTCACTCTCCTATCCTCCATCCTTTCCACCGCTCAACCGGCGACCGGTGACTGCGACTTCCGATGGCCGCCGCTGCTGCTTCTCCGATGGCCGCCGCCGCTGCTTCTCCGATGGCCGCCGCCGCTGCTTCTCCGGATGGCCGCCACCGCTGCTTCTCCCTTCGATGACCGTCGCCGCCGCTTCTCCGATGGCCGCCGCCGCTGCTTCTCCGCTGCTGCTTCTCCTGATGGCCGGCCGCTGCTGCTTCTTCCGATGGCCGCCGCTGCTGCTTCTTACAGCAACTACATCATGAATTTGAAGAAACTCTTCAAATACCTTTCTTCTTGTTTCATGCAAGTAAGGAATTATATTTTGATGGTGGTTTCGTACTCGATTTCGCCAACAACTTGATTAATTGAAGTACTTATTAGGGATTTTAATCAAGTATTATGATTTATTTCGAGAGTTTACATTGATTATGATTGCTGAATGTTGTTGTTGTTATTAATGAATTATTAGGGCTGTAGTGGTAGTAGGAYCAGTGTTACCCGAATGCATTTCATAGTGAAAAAACACTAAACAGCTCACTGGGGGTAAATTGGTCATTTTAACCAGTTCTATCCTGTCCTGTCCTGTCTTACCAAACGCTGAACAGCTGTCATGTCCTGTCCTGTCCTGTCCTGTCATGTCCCGTCCTGTCCTGTCCTGTCTGCGCACCAAACGCACCCTTAATATCGAGATCCAATAATCGAACATTTTTCATCATCTGAGACACGTTCCATCTAATCATTGAAGTTGTCCTCTGTTGTTATCATCTTCAAAAGATTTGATGTCTGCAATAATTCAAATCTTTTTATATTATGAGAGAGAAATTATTTTTTTAATAAAAAATTGAGTCAGGTTTTATCGCTGATAAACATCATCTTAAGAGTATCTTCGTTACAAGCTTATTACTATTACAATAAGCTTTTAGACTTGTCACATAATACGTGATTATATTTTAATTAATTAATTCAATCGGGCTTGACAACTTGCCATTATCCGTGCTGTAAATGAGCCGCGCTTGTCCATGGGCTAACGGGCTCAAAAAGTGTAACTCTAAATTGACAAATGTGGAACCAAAAAGTAAAGGAAAAACACCGTTGCAATTAAAACTTTTTAAGCAACTACTGACTCGATCAATTGTTGATCGATTAGAACTTTTTGAGAAAAAAATGTCAACAAAGATAATGTAGAGCCTTTTGAGTTCTCAAGAAAAAACAAAGAGTCTCAACTTCCATCCTATAACTTTAATAATTTAACTTTAAAATATATTAGTGTAATTTTGAATAATGGTAAAAAAATATTAATTATAAAACATAAACGGGCTGGACGGGTCTGTCAATATTTATTTTTATATTATCCATATCCGTCCTATAATTTTAACGAACAAACCCGGGTCCATTCATTTTCTCGATAATAGTTGTCCAAACCCGTATCTTTATTGGGCCGGATGGACTGGGTGTAACGGGTCGTCCCGTCCATGAAAAGCTCTATTATCAGATTTTTATTTATTTTATATTTATCTGATTCACATCGTCTCAAAAAATAAATTGTGACAGGTGAACCAGTTTCGTATAATCAAAGAAAACCAACTTGAGAAACTCCAATGGCTTCCCCTTCTACCAATCTTCACTTCATTTTGTTTCCTCTAATGACTCAAGGCCATATGATACCGATGGTCGACATCGCCCGATTACTAGCGGAACGCGGTGCCACCGTTACCATCATCACGACCCCGGTTAACGCTAACCGCTTTAGATCGGTCATTGATCGTGCAATCGAATCTAACCTCAACATCCAAGTTCTCGAACTCCAACTCCAATTAGCCAGAGTCGGTTTGCCGGAAGGATGCGAGAGTTTCGACTTGCTTCCATTGGCTGCACTTAAGCTCAATCTATTTGACGCGATCGATATGTTAGAAGAACCGGCCGAGAACGTGATCCGGGGACTAACTCCGCCTCCGAGTTGCATAATCTCTGATAACGGTTTACCATGGACTACAGATGTGGCTAAGAGGTTGAATATTCCTCGGCTTGTTTTCTACGGACCGGGATGCTTTGCATTCCTATGCATACACATAGTCACGAATACTAATATACTCGATGAAGTTGAATCCGACTCGGACTACTTTGTGTTGCCCGGTTTACCTGACCGGATTGAAGTTACCAAAGCCCAAGCCTCGGGTTGGGGAAAAGGAGACTCGAAAAGAAGCAAGGAGAGGTTCGAACGTATGCAAGAAGCGGGTAAAGCGTCATACGGGATTGTCGTTAACAGTTTCGACGAGTTGGAGCCTAAGTATGTTGAAGAATTCGCGAAGGCGAAAGGTAAGAAAGTGTGGTGTATCGGCCCGGTTTCACTATGCAACAAAAATTTCCTAGATATGGCCGAGAGGGGCAAAAAGGCTGCGATCAACGAGCATGACTGCTTGAAATGGCTGGATTCGAGGGAGTCGGGTTCCGTGGTCTATGTTTGCTTGGGAAGTTTGTCGAATTCTTGCACCGAACAAGCCATTGAGCTTGCGTTGGGTTTGGAGTTATCGAATGTACCTTTTATATGGTTCACGAGGCACAAAGACGACGAATTTGAGAGGTGGATCTCGAAAGAACGATATGAAGAACGAATAAAAGATAGAGGCCTAATGGTTCACGGTTGGGCACCACAAATCTTGGTGTTGTCACACCAAGCCATTGGTGGTTTCGTGACACATTGTGGGTGGAACTCGACTCTAGAAGGGATTTCGGCTGGAATCCCGATGGTTACATGGCCACATTTCGCGGACCAGTTTCTAAACGAAAGATTTATCGTAGACGTGTTGAAAATTGGAGTGAGAATTGGCGTAGAGGTTCCTGTTCCTTTCGGAGAGCACGATAAGTTTGAAATGACGGTAAAGATGGAAGACGTAAAGAAAGCGGTGGAAAGTTTAATGAACGATGGCGAAGAAAGTAAGACGAGGAGAACGAGGGCCAAGGAGCTCGGGAAAATGGCAAAGAGAGCGATGGAGGACGGAGGTTCATCTCACGCTAACATGACATCGATGATTCAAGCTATTACCGGAAAACTAGCCGAGAACGCTAAAGAAATTTACTTTTAATCGTGTTTTATAACCGCTTCTAAATTTCAAAATAAACGAAGTCAATGGTTGAGATTAGGTTTGTAGGGTTTGTAAGAATTACATGGTTTGTATTTGAAATTTTCATTATATATAATATAAAAACAATATTATATGTCGTCATGGGATTAGTCGGTTTGGATAGCGGGTTGAATATCCAGGTTAATAAAAAAACAATATTATATTAATAGGTGAAGGATTGTATGAAATGTAGAGTTAATGAGAGAAACGCAAGAAAAGATTTGGACCATTGATCGCTTTTAATCTATTTGTCCACCCATGAATTGCGATTCTCATATGAATTGATCCGGTGCATCTCATTTTAATGTGCATCCAAAGATGAAATTTTCTTCTAACGTTTCTCACCTTAACTCATCATTCTCAACCCTCTATATATATATATATATAGAGGGGTGTTATTATACACCCTCTACCATTCATACAACCTATGCAACCTTAATCTAAACCATTCATTTTTTAATCAATGATCCAGATTAAATTCATGGCATAATTGTAATAAAATTAAAGTTGGGAAACACGCGCTGCATATATTGAGGGCAAATAAGGGTAAAATTGGA